TCCCCCCCTCCTCCTCCCTTCCCCGCTCTGCTCTCTTGTAATTAAAAAGTGTAAAAAGTAATATCATGTATTTCATTCTGTCATGTTGCAGGTCCATTTTGAAAGTGGTGTACGGATGGGAATTGGTGCCTTCAACCTCATGATATCCCTCCTCCCTGCGAGAATAATCAAGCTGCTGGAGTTCATTGGATTTGGTGGAAACAAGGCATTTGGGTTGAATGAACTTGAGCAGGGCTTCATGCTCAAGTCGGGCCTAAGACAGGTGAGTACATTTTATTTGATAGAATTTATATCTTTTGTTATGGTCTAATGGGCAAAAATCTGAGTCAAACCATTTCTTTATGTTTTCAGATTCTTTGTGTTATGATGCTCCTAGCATATAATCTACTTGTTGTCTATGTTCTGAGCCACACCGATGGAGATCTTGAGCTGTGTGAGAAAATCCTTAAGGAACAGCTTGAACAATATCCCAAGGGTGTTTGGTTCCTATTCTTTAAGGGTCGCCTGGAGTTCATGAAAGGCAACCTTGCTGAGGCAGATAAATGGTATATTCGCTCCTGGCAATCGCAAGGAAAATGGCCTCATTTCCACCACCTCTGCTTCTGGGAGCTCATGTTTGTGCACGCTTTGCGCTTAGATTGGCGCACTTCTAATAAATATGCTGAGAGCCTAGTAGCGGATTCCAGATGGTCCCGTACTATCTATCAATACCAACAGGCTGCCATACTGCTCATGGTAGAAGATCTGACACCGGATGAGAAATCTAAGGTATTTAAAACATTTTTTGAAAATTAATATTACCCTGAACAACTACCGACAACTACCTCTTGTGATCGCTTACTTAAATTTCTATCTTTAGATTGAAGAGTTGATGAGAACAGCTCCAGAATTCAAGCAACGTCTTGCTGGCAAATCCTTGCCCATGGAAAAATTTGTGATCAGGAAGACTGAACGCTATTTTGCTCAGAAGAAATTTCTAATTCTACCTGGAGTGGAATTGGTTTATATGTGGAATCTTTTCAAAACACTCAAGTCTAAGTGGTCCTTAGCAGAAAATATATATAAACTTGTTGAGAATACTTTGCAAGAATTTGATGAAACAAACAAGTATTCCTCTAACTTTGATGCAGACAATAGGTAATTTCATATTAATTTGGTTCATTGCAGTAGATTCAATTTTTGAACTTCTCATCTAATCTGTCTTACATTTCTAGGGCACTGCTTCTCCTATTGAAGGGAGCTCTTCTCCATGTTATGGGGACCCCACTTCAAGCCCAGCAGTGCTTACAACAAGTAATAGCGCTTGAAAAACAAATTCAAGATGATACACACATTGTTCCATATGCCCTAGTAGAACTTGCTGTTATAGCTAAAAACCAGGGTGAAAATGAGCAAGCAGTTCAACTTATTGAAAGTGCAAGGAAAAACTACACTGGCTATTCCTTGGAAAGTCGTTTGCATTTTAGAATGCATTCATTGATGTTAGACATTGGAGCCCAGAAAAAGAATAATGGTGCGGAAGATGCATTAGAAAATGGGGATGAAAATGGCTGTTATGATACACATCTTTAGTAGCTGATATCAAGAGTGATGACAATTTTTGAACCTAGTCTAATACGGAAAAGCTTGTTTCTCAAGCTTTAGTAGCAGAGTTTCTTGAGTAATATAATTTTGTCTTTTATATTTTATTTTTGCGTGTTACAAGATCCAGCTTGACTCATTTAATGTGTGGAAAACACTAATTTCAGAGATGAAAAGTGTGCCTTCTGTTTTAGCACAGTAATGAGACACTTTGTCATCAATGAGGGAGAAGTAATCCTTTCTTTACTTTGAGCTTAGAAATGGTCAGCACATTGGCCATGGCTCGGTAATTATAAACCAAAGAAAATAAAAATAATTGTTACAAGTGTGTGGTGCACAGCGTAAGAAAAAATAACTTTTTGTCATCGAATGAACCTGCACTTCTTGTTGATGTTGTTTGATACTGATCTTTTTCAAGTGCTCAAAAATTTGCTATGGAAATCTTTATAAAAAATGTAGTATTCTAATTTCGTGGAAAAGAGTATTGTGCTTAAAATGACTACGGTTTTTGTTTTTGTTGATTATTCGTACTGTATTTTCAATTTTGACTTGAAACTATTTTCGACTTAAAACTGTTTTTCAGTGTTCCTGTAGCATGCCAGCACAGTATAGAATTTCTACTAGATTTTGACATTTGTTACACTTGATACCAAACACCAGCCTTCCATGAAGTCATCAATCAGTGATGGCAGTATCTAGTAGATCAAATATGATGATGTACCTGAACATAACAGCTGTTAAATTCTATCTGTTTCAATGTTGTCTTTTGTGCATATTAGCTCTATGAAGTTTTGTTCTATTTATTTTCATTATATGTTGTTTTTTTCTGATTTAGAAATTATAATTGTATGTTCAGGATGGAAGTTGTGCTCACCTAAAAGGAGCTGAGACATTTTGACTTTTTTTTTTTCATTTTGTGTTTGAAACTAATAACTAGCACCAGTGGGAATTCCATACTACACTGAGTTTATTTCTTACATCTGATCAGAAATGTCAGATTTTTTTTTGTTCAAAACGAATCTTTAAGGTATGCGAACAGGTGTGTTTTGCACCCTTACAAGAATAATGTGAATGTGATAAACAAGAGGGGCTCGTTTTTCCCTCTTTTTCGGTGTCTGTTATTATGCAATCTTGTGTTTTTTTGAAAAAGTATATCCTCCTACGATCAGTTTGAGATCCTATTTTCTTGACTCTTGTCTTTTGGTATTGTGTAGAATTTCTCTCTGTCTTCTTCTATTTCTCTCTATATTAAAAGCTTTAGTACAATTGTTGCATTCCTCATGCTTCCCATATTAGAACTTATCAATAGTTAAACATTTCAGCTAATTTTTTGTCTACAAATCGTTACTAGTTCCTCAAAAACATTCCATATTTTAAGAAATTTTTAGCTGTGTACGCTATATGTGTATGCAATAAAATACCTGATAATAAGAATATGCTATGTTTGAAATAGTCTTGGAAGACAATATTTAGGGCCAAATTCCATCTCTTTTCTATCAAAATGAATAAAAACTTGTTAAAATACTACAGTTTAGACACTGTATGTGGTTATTTTAAGCCTGTTTGTGCCTCTTTTGATATTGTGTAATTTATATTGTATAAATTTCTTACACCATCAAGTCAAACTAAGCCTTGTTCAGAGTATTTTGATTATTTTTCTGCATTAAATTATTCCTAATTACACGTACGTGCATAGTGCTTAATGGTTTTCTGTTTAATGTAAATATGTATATAGATATACCATTCTCAGTCGGTATTAGTACTTTAATATGTAATTTTAGGGTTGAGTAATCTTTAACCAACTTATCGATTTCTTCTTCATGACACTTGCTGTAATAGAGCGCTTGCGAGCTTGAAGTACTTCAGAAATTACACATGTTTCTAGGTATTTATTTTCTTTGCCACGTCACACAGGAATGGCTAGCTTGGCATCTCTGCTCTTCAGCATGGGTAAATTAGTCTTATGTTTTTGTTTCCTCACATAGAACACCTACCTCATAAAGCAGTGATCTGTTTTCTGGCTTTAAAAGTTGGACTTAAATTCAACCATACACGAATTGTCTGAGAAATTTCTGTGTTCGCTGTTTAAACAAAGCAGATTATTATTAGATTTAAAAAATATGTGTTTTATGCAAATGTTTTGATGGAGACAGGTATTTTTTAAAATGTGATTTAGTGAATTATTATTTTTTTAATTGTTGTCATTTGTTCATACTCAAATAAAAGACAAAGTGGTGGATCTGGTTTGCTTTATTCTCCTGAAAGTCGCTGTTCACATCATCTGGGATGGGCCTCGCCCAGTAAGCGCCCGAGCAGCTCCGGGTATGCAACCCCCTGCGCTCACCTGCTGAACGGGACTGCCTACCCGGCTGCTCACCAGGCGTTCGCCGCCCCGCGCGGCCGCCTCGCGCCGAGCTACAGGGAGCCCTGCAGGCTCTTCGGGGGTCGGATCATCGCCGGGATGTCCAGCTGGTCCAGGAGGCTGTTAATGACCGGCGGCAGCTGTTTCTCAACAGCATCCTTGATGGTTCGTCTCATCGAACCGACGACAGCATTGGCCACGCCCGAGGCCACCCATCCGAAGATACCGTCCTTGATTCCGACGTTGATCTTCCTAGAGAGAGAGAGAATGGGAGGGGCGAGTAAAATAAGAGACAAGAAACTAGCGAAAGCTAGCGCAGCAGGAGGCGCACTCACCCTAGGTCCTCGACGTGCAGCTCTACCAACGACGGCTTTAGGGTGTCCGTGAACATGCTGAGCATGAGGCTGGCCTTCGTACCCGTCACGGTGGCGTCCACCTCCCCATGCTGCTTCACAACCCCGGTCTTCGCGTTGAAGGTGTAGTGGGCCTGGAGCGCAGCATGGTGGTTAAACACCTTGCAGAACACGCGGGGGACTTAGGACTAAATATGGCGAGGGGCGGGGAGCCACTCACATGAACCCGGCTGACTTTGATCCCCATCCTGACCACGAGCTGCCTCGCGTCTTTGATGAAGAGGATGTCCGCATCTCCGTCACGCTCCAC